CAGACCCTCACCAACGCTTGTTACCATCTGTCTTCTGTTTGTGGCTGTCCTAGTGGTGCCTCATTGTGGTTTTGATTTGCATTCCCTGGTGGCTAACGATGTTGAGCATCTTTGTACGTGTGTGCTTATTGGCCATTTATTTATCTTCTTTGGAGAAATGTCTATTCAGATTCTTTGCCCATCTATAAAAATGGTTTTTGTCTTTTTATTATTGAGCGGTAATAGTTCATTATGTATTCTAGATCCCAGTCATTTATCAGATAGATGATTTGCAGATATTTTCTCCCAGTTTGTGGGTTTTTTCACTTTGTTGATGGTTTCCTTTGATCAAGATAGCATTTCAGCAGCAGAAAACATGAGGAAAATGGTGGAAAATCTTGCAGTTGTGCTTGTTGAGTGTTCAGAAATGGAGTGTGCGGCATCTTCCGTGGACTGAAATTTTTTTCTCCTTTTTGATCTGCACCAAAGTCACGCTGGTTAAACCCTTTATATCTTGCAGTTTTGAGAAGCAGCTTCCCATGTTTGTTCCCTCTGTGGAGAGGCAGGAACTTTTTACTGTAATGGTGTAGCCTCAGGAAGACCTTCTAGATTATAGGTTTCTCCATCGAGGAGCCCGTCATCCTTCAAATGCTGTATCAAGTAGAACACTGTCAAGATGGCGCCTTAGTCTCTGGGCTTGGTGGGAGGGAGTCTTTAAAAAGCAATCCCTGTTGCATTTATTTCACATTGTGGGTTCCCATGGCTTTGATCAAAGGGAAGAATGTAACGAGAAAAATGAGCCTTCTCAAAACTAAAATACTGGAAGTTTTTTAAGAAGAATTTAAATTTCAGTATTTGCATGGGCCTTTTGCACATTGGTTCACAGGTGCTCCTAGTTGCATCGGCTATAATCAAGACAGAGTGTCTCAGAGAATTTGCGTTTTTCCCTAGCATGGTGTTTGAAACCTTCTAGGTATGCAGTGATGAGTTTAAACTAGAAAGCAAAGATGTTTGCATGAAGATTTGAGAGGCAGAATAATTGGGGAGGACCTTGATTCAGTAGTTATTTTGGGAGGACCTCATAGGGAATTGATTCAAGTCAGTCAGTACCTGATGTTGACTGTGTAAGGCATAGTTTCATGGGAATGAAAGGGCTGGAGGAAATTCTAACACATCAGTTAGAGAGGAGAGAGAGCGATCCCTGCTAAGTGGTGGGTGGTGTCTGGAGACTAGAGAAGGCTGCATGTTGGAGGCGATATTTGAATTGGGCCCAGAAAAATGCCCACACGTGCACACAGGTGAGTCGAGAAGGTGTTGTGGATAGAGAGCTAGCATCATAGGCATGCGAGTCGGAGAGAAAGCAGCCTGAGCTGGCAGAGTAGTTGAGGTGGATCGTATTTGAAATGATTTTAATTCCTAGCTAAGGAGTTTGCCCTGGATTCTTGCAAGGTTGCAGATCCATTGTAGGTTCCTGAACCTCGAAGCTGACGTTGATGGAGTCCATACATGCTCATCCAGAGCGTTATGTTGGGTTTGGGCAGCTCGGCGGAGGCAGAGGCAGGTCTGACATCAGTGATGGCGAGTGCCGTCCTTGGAGGGTCAAATCTAACCTTTAGTTTCCTTTCTAAAAACTCTTCATCCCAGTAATGATGATGATAGCTACCACTTATTGATCAATCTCTGTGTTGCATGCACCGTGCTAAGTAACTCATCCTCACAGCCACTCTGGCGTATATATGTTATTGATACCTGTTGTAAGACAAGGAAATTAGGACTTAGTGGAGGTTAGTCACCTTGCTGCAGGTGGCACAGCTGAGTGGCAGAGCTAGGATTTGGGCCCAGGGCCATCTATTCCAAAGCCCATTCCACTAAAACCACAAAGTGCAGCCCTGTGTTGCTTCTCTGCTGATGTCAACGCCCCAGGACACTTTGTCCGTGAGCCTTGCCGCATGTGGCGTGCTCTCTGCACCCAGAGTGGATGAGCCTCCAGTTCTTACTAATACTGTAGATATTCCAGGCCTGGAGGGTCTTTAACAGAACTTGGCACATCTGTGCTCTCCCCCATTGTGTGTTTATGGGCTTATGTGTTTTCCTCTGCTAGAGTGGCATCTCACACCTGGGTGTGAACCTCTGGTTTAGCTGTGTGACCTTAGTGAGCCCAAGTGCCTGTGTCTGTGAAGTGGTAGGGTGAGGCATGTGACCTCTGAATCCCCTTCTGTTTTGGGGTTAGGTGTTAACGAAGAAGGAGCGGTGGCTGTAGGATTCTTGGACGCTAAAGAGCATTGTCAAGAGGACCCATCGTTTCAATCCTGAGCCCTGACACCACTCTCAGGACCATTCATGTTCATAAACTTTCTAGTAATCTGGCTTCGTGGACCGTCAGTTCTGCTGGATGTCAGCCAGCAGTGGCGGCCACATCCTCGGAGCTGCTTGGATTTAGGGCTGCCCCCTTCAGGGTAGCCTCCGTCATCACTTCCTGTGTCTTTTCTACCTTTGACACCACCCCCCCCAATCATCCCTACCATCCTATTTTCTTTTTATCACCTGAAACTGGGCTGCCACTTCAGACCTGTTAAATCAGAATCTGGCGGTGGGGCCCAAGGCCCTGGCGTTTGGGGAAAGCGCCCCCTTGTGATTGTATTTGCACCAGGGCTCAGAACCCCTGCTGCCCCCATTGCTCCCTATTTTAAGTACCAGGCCTCACTCCACATGACAGGTGTCAGTGAATCCTAGTAATTGTAAGCAGTACGGTCCTAGTGGCCATTTCTTATTTTCTGTTTTCAATTTTTACTGAAAATTTTGTGTGCATCTTAATTTTTATACTAACCCACTCTAGTCTGTCTTTTGTCCTAGCCTTCTGAATCTGATTGACATGATAACTTAATGTCAGTTAAATACAGTTAAAATACGCTAAGAGGGCTATGGTTGAATTCCAGGAGGAGTTCGGATGGTGGAATGGTGTATTCAGCAAGTTTTTTTTAAAGATATGCATATGGTTATGTAAACATTCAAGCACATGTAAAGGAAGAAAAAAGATGAAAACGTAATGATTATGAGTGGCAGGATTATCAGTGCTTTTTCTTTTCATATCTGCTTATAAATTTTCTATAGTGAACATGTATTTTTCTTCTGTATTTTAAAAAGCAACCTTAAAAAGAAAATATATCTTAGACGAAGTTGGTGTGTGTGAATGTGTGTTATTTTTAGCTCTCGAGGCAAAAATATTCCGGGGATGTTGAGAGTGGTACCGAACGGAGCTGAGTTAATGGCAGGGCCTGGCACGCGCAGGCTGGGCTGTGAGTTCTTGTTATTTTTGTTTTTGCTTATTATAGCTGATAGCTACATACGCTCGTCTGCTGGCTGGCATTCCGTTTTGTTGAACAAGTGAAGGTCATGAGACTATTAGTCCATAGCGGGCACCAGAATATGGTGACGTTGATAATTTAGTTTTGTTTTTAATGCCCATGGATTAATTTTAATGATGCTATCTGTTGCTGCTGGGGCTTTCTGAAAAACTGCTCTACCAGGAGCAGAGTCTGACCTAGTATCTGTTCATCTTTTCACGTTGGCATATTACTGGAGTTTAACACGTGCATTTGAATTTTAATTTTAAGTAAGACACAATTAGAATAAGTGGTTTAGACCAAAACTTAACAGTAGTTATCTCAGGGTACTGTTGTCAAGTAATTTTAACAGTACTTAAAAAATAAAAGCAAAACACCCAATCCCTAACAGATGTTTAGTTTTTACTTTTGTCAAAATTGGTTCCTTTAAAAATAAGAAGGTGGGAGGACCGAGTGCTGAAATAATGGGAAAATGGCATTGTGGGGCCATGTTTCAGTAGGGCGGTTTCTTCTCAAGTGCTGTTTCGCTAATTCTTGGGGAAATTTGGCTGTGAGCGTGCAATTATTACATTTTTACCCACAGAATGGGCCACAGCTGGCACCACATCCCTCATAGTTGCCAGAGGCAACACACTGATTTAATTTGTGCCCCTCTGGCAGACATTTTTGAATAATTTTAGTGATTTTTTTTTTTTTTTTTTTTAAAGATTTTATTTATTCAGTTTTTTCCCCCCAAAGCCCCAGTAGATAGTTGTACGTCATAGGTTCACATCCTTCTAGTTGCTGTACGTG